ATAGATGACTTTGGACATTTGTGAAAAATTTTGATCCAACTTCTTATATCATTTCCAAAATTAAAAAAATCAAGTACTTTATCAATAAAATCCCAACTAACAGAATCAAAAGCTTTCTCAAAATCAATAAAAAGTAGCATACCAGGTATTTCATTCTCTTCGGCATATTGCATTATGTCATATATTATTCTAGTGTTTTCTCCTATATATCTTCCTGAAATAAAACCTGACTGATCAGTATTAATTAATTTGTTTAAAACAGTTTTTACTCTATTTGCGATTGTTCCTGATGCTATTTTGTATACTATATTAAGAAGTGAAATTGGTCTCCAGTTTTTCAAAAATTGCCTCGGCTTATCTCCCTTTGGTAAGCATGTTATGATTCCCTGTCTTTGTGTTATTGAAAGTTCATTATTATTATATCCATATCTTATTGATCTAACTACATACTGACCTAACTGTTTCCAAAAGCATTTAAAAAATTCAGAAGTAAACCCATCAGACCCCGGACTTACAATTCATTATGTAGCATATATATCACTTGTCTTATTTTGAAAAAAGTCTAATGTACTATTGATAAACTTTATATAATTTGATCTTGAATAAAAAAAAAAATATAAATAGTTATGTTAATGCTAATAAAGAAGACCATTTTCCCCATTATTGACATTTCAGCCGTGCAACAGTTAAAAGTATAAAGTAGAAGGTTGGAAGGTCAGTAATTAATGTTTACGCATAAAAATACACATGTTTTCACTTACCATCAAGTGCAGTGTGTTGTCAGCTACTTTGAAGAGCACTTTCAATGTAAACATGTACACCTATATTGGGGACGGATAAGTCCAGTGGAGGCATATTGTTATCATTGGCAGAATGTAGTATTATGTATACGTACCTACTGCTAAACCAAGTACATTATCATACTTACTTTCAGCAGCAAATTAGAATTGAGTATAAGTGTTTTGTTTATTTTGTCAGACTTTTATTTTCTGTGAGAGGGTGTGTGTTTTTTTACTGACACTTACTCCAAAAGTTTGAGTCGCTATGTACGCATGTTCAGGTGCACAAGCTATATTTTTGATAATTTTCAAAGGAAAAGTCATGATTTTGAAATTGATTGCAGCATGACAAAGATTTAAAGAACACAAATTCTGTAATTTTGACTTTCAGCATTAAATATAAGAACAATCAATGACAGTCGCCAAAAGAAAAGCAAAAAAATATAAAAGAAATAATTAGTCATAATTTCATTGATAATGTTGTCTAGACAATTCCTCCTAAACTGCAGTCAATTTCAACCAAACTTTATACATATGATCAGTACATGATGTAGTTGCACACTCTGTTTTTACTTTCCAGTTTTGACATTTTCCCCATAAACTATTGCTCAATTATATGACAGAATAAAATGGAACTTCGTGAGAGTGATACATAAAGAAGATGCTTAATTTTGAACTGCTTCCTATTATTTATTGAGATTAAATATGGCCACCATGGCCTCTGATTGGCTGAAACAGTGACAGTTATAACTCAAATTATATTTGGCTGACTTCTTACTTGATGCTTTGTGAGTGTGATACATCACTAACTTTCAAGATCTAAAATTCAGGATGGCAAGATTGGCATCATTTTTCTGCAATTATCCACATTTATTCTGGAAAGATAACATATTTACCTCCATAATCAAGTCTTTACAACACAACTGTTTTACATTAAAAGGCAAATATAGAAATCATATGTACTCTTGTAGTGTTGAACAGTTTTAACGGCATTTATTGAAATTAGGTTTGCAATTGAAGAAAGCCTCATTCAGCCCTGTTCTCATAAGTTATGGATATATTGACATTTCAAAAATCATAAATTGCCATTACTATATATAGGGCAAGCTAAATGTAGATTGTTTATTTATTGCTTAAATTTGGGGAGCTGTTTAAAAAACTCATGGTTGGTTAAGGAGCAGAAGGAATAACACTAAACTTTCCTTTTTCATTAAAATGTCTTAGTCTACAATATTTTTGAAAACAATTAAATAAATCAGACAAACATAGTTTGGTTTTTCTTAAATTGAATATTTCTGTCAGCAGCTTTTGCTGCATTTCTTGTTCTTCTTTGAAATGAATTGGAAAAAAATTGTCAATGACACAAGCTGTCGATTAGCTGTATGTTACACGAAATATTGTCCAAATTGAATTGAGGCATTACAAAGCAAATATTGGTTATTATTAGCTGTTGTAACATGTCAAGCCTGTGCAGTTATGATGAACACGGTTATGTTACAGAGGTAATGATGTACAAACACTCCAGCCGTTATTCCAATGATATGCAAATGCTGTTTAATGGCGATGATCGTGGTACAATGTTTGACGATCTTATCCGTAGATTTTTTTTGACATCAGGGTACGTAGAGTTTAAATTGACCTGTTGTATTAGCTGTAAGTGACATCGTTGCAGCAGACAGTTGGACATATTGTGAAGTTATAAAATAATACTTGTGAACAACAAACAGTAGAAGGTAAACTATTTTACAATGTTATGGAAAATTATTTAAAACACCGCTTTGGACTAAATCCAGGTAAATGCTATTTAAGAAATTGTAATTTTTCATGTATTTTTGTTATCTTAATGAATGAAACTAGGGCTGGAGCCATGCAGGCTCTTTAAACCTCTTGATAAGCGAAAAGGGATCAATGCAAGACTCATCAACTGTTAATATTTAGTGAATTTTCATTCTGTTTCAGTAATATTCTGCATCAATACTTACCATATATTTTTTTTTGTAACTTTAAATATGAAGTTTGTTTTGTATAAATGGACAAGAACTTTAAAACATTATTAACCTAATTCAAGCACTTTCAAAACGTGAAAAAGAGCACTTGGTACTTTTATACCCATATATGTCTAGCTAGTTAGATTTATAAAAGGAGATTGAGGTCAGCCTTAAAGTGCAGCTTCATTAAATCAAACAATTTTGCCATTTAAATAAAAAAATCATTGCTCACTGTGATAGTGTATTGTATATGGTGTCAAGCATTTTGTATCAAGGGTGGAAGTCTTTGTCAACTGATAGGGAGGCATTATCCCTCTGTATTCTCTTCTGATATATATCTTCTGTATGACCCTGGGATGTGAGTGCAATCTTTTGAACAATTTATTTCAGATTAATCACGATAAAAACTCAGTAGATTTGATTGGCAGACAATGTCATATATCTCGACAAACTTTGTTTACCTGTTAAGTTCTTCCTACCTATTTTTTTTTTTTATCTGGGGGTAGTTTTGTAGTGAGCCTTATATATTTTGTACATGTGTACAGTAGTTCTGTAAGATGTGATTAATTGTACCGGCAGTCCTCTATTGTCTAGGTTCATTGGAGGAAAAATATTGTAATTTATGTTTAGTCAACTTCATACACTCTAATGATGTTTTTACATTGGCATTTCATATAATTGTTTTCTTCCATAAATACTTTGGTATGTATAGAAAAAGGGAAAAAGATTTTTTCTAGTACCAGTATTTACACAAAAGCTGAATTTAGCGAGTTGAATGTTTCTAGTTTCTGTTGAAGTGGGGTCGGTGTTGCTGGTAATATTGCCACGGGTTGAAATTATATGGAGCTCTTATATAGACTTGGTTGGACACCCGAGATGGTCTTGGGGAAGTGCACTTAAGAACAGGAAATCCAACCCATTTGGATAGGTTTTATTTCAATGAAGCTGTAACAGAAACGACATACATTTTATAGTATGCTGGTCTTTCCTCAGATTACAGGTCAGAATTTTGCTGCAAGTATTTAATAAGAAACTTTCATGTTTTTAATTTTCAATTTAAAAGAAAAAAAATAATTACCAGGTATGAATTGAGTTTCACACTCAGGTACATCTTTTGTTATTTTTCTCTCCATTCTTGTTGGATGCAGTCACAGAAAAGCAGACTTAGATTTTAACCCTGGCCTTTCGTGGTTTTCCACTAGGAGCTGAGTAACACAAGATGACATGATTTACAGTTTGTTGTTTGTTTCCAGCTGTAGATACATTTCCGGTCATAGAGGAATGTAGAGTTGGTTTTGCATCTGTTCCAGATGTAAACTTCAGAATTCGTTTTTTGGATGATGCTTTACTTTTGGTAAAAAGCAAGAAAATCAAACAAATTTTTAAAGTATTTTCTGATCCCAAAGTCCCTTTCAAAGTTGATTGAGCCATGCTGCTTCATTTTATGTTGTTATATAACTTACCTTTAAAAATTATGTTATATAATACAACTTACCTTTAAACATCATATTTAAGATTTAACATTAATGGGAATGTTCGTTTTTGATTAGCCAATTCAAAAGTAAACATACAGGTTGTCTGTATTTACACATAAATACTGAAACAATGCTTTCTTTACAACACCAAATAAACATTTAACTAAAAAATTGGACCAGCGTGTTAGTTTATTACAGGCTGAAAACTTATCCTTTATGGCAGTAGTACTGTATAATGTCAATTCTGATTGTGTGTGATCGACTGAGCTAGAAAATTGTCGATTTACAACCACGTCAATAGGTTATAACTTCATGCTTTTTCTCTTTACTTTACGCAAACATTTAAGTTTTGAGTTGCCCGTAAATTATCGTATTTGCCACGGTAGTCAAGCTTATGTGGTATTAACATGAACAGTGTGGGCCGGGGCGAGACATTCCACCAGTCCTTCTGCTATTGTAAGTCGTCACCCCTTATCAGGGGGCGGAGCAGTGCCCCGACCTCTGTGTCAAGGGTCACCGCCCCTCAACGAGACCACGAACAGTTTTTTTGGGCCGTCAATGAATGAAGCCTGCCATAGTGTTCTCCAGCATGGTGTGGATTAATGTGTAAAAACGGGAATGGGAGAATCATTGGTAGGCAATTTTCTGTCTCAATCTACTGTATTTTTTTTGTGAAGTGTGTGTGCATGTATATTCATAACTTATAACAACGACAATTGTAAAGATGAATATGATGAGATTTCTGTTAAGTTTGATTTATATTTAGGGTTTGTTACGTCGTATAAAGAAATTATTCAATTATTTATGAAGAAGATCACAGTTAGCTAGGGCTGACCTTTTCGTGTTAAAACAAAAATATTCCTGTAAAATGTCACTCACTGCTTAGATGTTTTTAGTAATTTTAGTACCACAAAGATTATGGAGAGGAAACATTAATTTAAGTAAGATTTTATGTGAAAGCATTGTAGAAATATATGTTGATGTTTATTAGTCCTCAATACATGTTATAGGGGAAGGGAAAAGTCATGTCATTTTATGTATATTTATCTTCAATGTATACAGGTAGAATTGAACTGGGGAATTCATATATTTTTGTACACTTGTCCTTCCTATGGCCAGGTAAGAAAGGCTATTCATATCATTGTATATTTGTCCTATATATATATATATATATAGAATAAAAACAAATTTTTCAGAATGTTTGAATTTGTTTTTATTCTATATTTTCGTTCGCAAGGACTTATTTATTTATTATCTACTATATATATATTTGTACTTGTAGGTTAGTGCTGTCAAGAAATTCATTATGTATAAATAGGGTGGAAATTCATTTTATTTCATTCACATGTGTCTGTCCTCAGTATATTTATGTTCTATCGTTTTATGTCTTTGTCCTATATGTATTTATGATTATCTTTATATACGTACATTACATGTAGATGAGGGCAAGCAGGAAATTCATCTTTGCATATTTGTCAATAATTCAGATGGATGATGGGTTTATGTATATTTATCTTCTATAATATATACACAATAAAACAAGAATAGTCTTGAAACTCCTTTATATTTCATACTCTTTATATTATATACAGATTTAAAAGCATACAATTTTCTATGTATATATGTCCTCATTCTATATATATAAAAACACCACAAACTGTTCCTTCATTCTTATTCGGCATGGCCAGTTAAATTGTCTTTTGTATGACATCATTTAAAACGGCTAAACTCAAACTTACTAATGTGACGCCAAACTGATCAAGCTAGCAGAAATATTAATGCTGTTTCAAATGACAGGTGAATACTGCTTTGTCAAAAATTAAAAAATGTTGATTACCCAATTCAAATATCTGTAGTAACAGAAGTGGTGCTAGGAGAGAGCACAGTATACAGATCACATAAGTTAACATCCTAAACATAAGAAATTCTGTAAACTTCATATAATATGAAATATATAATATAAAGTAAAAGTTTGTACTCAAAACTGACAATTTCTAATTTGCTTATATTTATAATAATATGTGGAATATAAATTTGTTAAAAAAATCCTCATTTCCTGCAGAACTATAATGAGTGCATGTAGCACTCGTGAGAGTTTGGTATATTATATAACCAATCTAAAAATCTTATTTTTGTTTATTTTTCATTCAGAAAATATCGCACAAATATAATTGAATGAAATAACATAGAATGTGCTTTCATTCTGCAAATTTATTTTTTTCAGATTAAAATTTGATCTTTCATTCTATATTTGGCCTCAATATATATACAAATGCAAGAAGTTTCTTTAAGATACACCAAACCAGACCTAGGCTCAGGAACAACAAAATGTACTTGTGATGTATCTATCATGTTAGTCTATCTAACAGCAGTAGGAGAGTAAAACAAATCTCTAACATTTTCAAAATTGTCTTTACACAAAAACATTTTAATCTTTTGGAACTCCTTGTGTTATTGGAGGCTGAATGTTGTTTGGAACTCCTTGTATTATTGGATGCTGGTTGTTGTTTGGAACACCTTGTGTTATTGGAGGCTCGTGGTTGTTTGGAACTCCTTGTGTTATTGGAGGCTGGTCGTTGTTTGGAAATCCTTATATAATTGAATACGACTGTTGATCAGGAACCTCTTGTAGTATTGTATGGTTCTCATGGCTGGGAGCTGACCTTGTAGTATTGTATGGTTCTGACAGATGGCTGGGAGCTGACCTTGTAGTATTGGAGGCTTCTCTTTGTTTGCAATCTCTTATATTATTGAAAAAATCATTTGATAGCTTAAATAAAGCTGCTTTGTTCTGTTATAAATTCCAATCATCAATAATTGGCAAATTGGTTGTACCTTTTGATGATAATGTCAGGAGAAATGAAATAAAAGTATGTTTGCCTTTCCCAGTCAGTTTTAAAAAGTTTAAGAAGGCCTTTTTGTGTATTACTAATGACTATTTTGTCTTCATACTGATGCAGAGAAGATTGAAATGTTTTATAATGCTCAAAAAATAGATTTTATTTTCATAACGTTTTGAAAATTAATTAAAGGATATATGTCTGGAACACTTAAAGAAGAGCGCAAAGCAGTCTTTACAGAAAATGCTTTAAGACCGTTTGTAATTTAATATAGACAGTTGCAACTGTAGACAGGTGCTCAAATAACAAATAGGTAATAACAAACTATAGTTTAAACTTTCTGTAATATGTAGATTCTTGAATTTAGATATTTTGCTTTGTGTAAAATTCAACCATGTCAGTCTGGGCATTTAGGTGCTGTTACCAGTGGAACCTATCTTATCCAGACACTTTGGTTTGTCAGTGAGGTTGGTTTGTCAGTAAGGTGGAATCCTTACTTGTCCAGACAGTGATTTCTGGAACCTCGGTAATCCAGACACTTTGGTTTGTCTGTGAGGTGGAATCCTTGCTTGTCCAGACAGTGATTTCTGGAACCTTGGTAACCCAGACACTTTGGTTTGTGAGTGAGGTGGAATCCTTGCTTGTCCTGACAGTGATTTCTGGAACCTTGGTAATCTGGACACTTTGTTTTGTCAGTGAGGTGGAATCCTTGCTTGTCCAGACAGTGATTTCTGGAGCCTCGGTAATCTGGACACTTTGGTTTGTCAGTGAGGTGGAATCCTGGCTTGTCCAGACAGTGATTTCTGGAACCTATCTTATCCAGACACTTTGGTTTGTCAATGAGGTGGAATCCTTGCTTGTCCAGACAGTGATTTCTGGAACCTTGGTAATCTGGACACTTTGGTTTGTCAGTGAGCTGGAATCCTTACTTGTCCTGTCAGTGATTTCTGGACCCTTGGTAATCTGGACACTTTGCACTTTGGTTTGTCAGTGACGTGGAATCCTTGCTTGTCCTGACAGTGATTTCTGGAACCTCGGTAATCTGAACACTTTGGTTTGTCAGTGAGGTAGAATCCTTGCTTGTCCCGACAGTGATTTCTGGAACCTTGGTAATCTGGACACTTCGGTTTGTCAGTGAGGTGGAATCCTTGCTTGTCCAGACAGTGATTTCTGGAACCTAGGTAATCCAGACACTTTGGCTTGTCAGTGAGGTAGAATCCTTGCTTGTCCAGACAGTGATTTCTGGAACCTCGGTAATCTGAACACTTTGGTTTGTCAGTGAGGTGGAATCTTTGCTTGTCCAGACAGTGATTTCTGGAACCTTGGTAATCTGGACACTTTGGTTTGTCAGTGAGGTGGAATCCTTGCTTGTCCAGACAGTGATTTCTGGAACCTTGGTAATTTGGACACTTTGGTTTGTCATTGAGATGGAATCCTTGCTTGTCCAAACAGTGATTTCTTGAACCTCGGTAATTCAGACACTTTGGTTTGTCAGTGAGGTGGAATCCTTGCTTGTCCAGACAGTGATTTCTGGAACCTTGGTAATCTGGACACATTGGTTTGTTAATGAGGTGGAATCCTTGCTTGTCCAGACAGTGATTTCTGGAACCTCGGTAATCCAGACACTTTGGTTTGTCTGTGAGGTGGAATCCTTGCTTGTCCAGACAGTGATTTCTGGAGCCTCGGTAATCCAGACACTTTGGTTTGTCAGTGAGGTGGAATCCTTGCTTGTCCTGACATCTGGACACTTTGTTTTGTCAGTGAGGTGGAATCCTTGCTTGTCCAGACAGTGATTTCTGGACCCTTGGTAATCTGGACACTTTGGTGTGTCAGTGAGATGGAATCCTTGCTTGTCCAGACAGTGATTTCTGGAACCTTGGTAATCTGGACACTTTGGTTTGTCAATGAGGTGGAATCCTTGCTTGTCCTGACAGTGATTTCTGGACCCTTGGTAATCTGGACACTTTGGTTTGTCAGTGAGATGGAATCCTTGCTTGTCCAGACAGTGATTTCTGGAACCTCGGTAATCTAGACACTTTGGTTTGTCAGTGAGGTGGAATCCTGGCTTGTCCTCATAAGTCTGGACACTTAATTTTACCAGAATGTAAAAGTGTAAAAGTTTCTTTACCAGAATTTAAATAACTAAGGATCTTCTTATTGGGATGACATAACTTTGATACTGTACCACACTTTATTTCTAAAGAAGAAAAGGCCAAGATAGGGTATTGTGTGTCTTTAAACTTCCTACATCTGGCTAGTAGAAGAAATCAATTAGTTAAGTACTGTTATTGTATCTTTATAGAAATTATCCTGGACAGTAGTCTTTCACCTGAACAAGCACAACACTGTCATCAAATAAACAGATACAGGTTATGGACATGTTATTTGTATGTAATGAACATTGGAAAGTTAAAATAGAAATTTTTCGCATATCGATTTTCGAATTATGCATTTCATTGATACATTGTAAGAAAAAAACACTGAGGACATTGTAACAATAACGGATGTAAACAGGAAGAAAGCAAGGTGTATGAATGTGAATAAAATTGCATTTCCTATAGTTAAAAACAACATAGTGGTTTGTCTGTGTGGTAAAAGTGAAGCCTTTTAGGTGCGTGCATATCCATTTCATAATTCCATGCAAGATTACTGTTTCTAAAAATTTCTACACGATTTGAAACGAGCTGGAATCCTGAGCTGCAAAAATAAATCCTGAAGAATGGATTGAATACAAAGTTCACCTGATTACATCCATCCTTATTTGGAGACTCATTTAATGCAAATAAACCCAATGAGCTGTTGAAATCATATCCTCCCCAGGGTATAAAACTAATTTCATACAGGTAGGTGGATTTTACCTGGCTGGTACCCAATGTTGTTAAAACTGATTTGATATGCATAGAAAGTAATTGTTGAAAAGAAGTCACTCAGTTCGTTTAGCTACTGGATCTTAGCTAATATGTAAATAACATTTAAGAGTATGTGTAAACTTTTACACATGAAATTATAAGCCTCATTCAAAACTCTGTATTCAGGCGACGTGTTTGCATTGTATTTGTTTGTGTAGAAATTCATTGTTATTTGATGATTTTAAGGTTAAATCCAGCCCACCTTCTGACTTGAGTGCACAGCTTTTTGTCACCAGAACTAAGACTATATTTCTTAAGATTGTTTTTCATCATAATTCATAAACAGGTAATCAAACATGGGAAAGGTATTGAGTTCAGCTGATTCCAATTTGGGCTTCACTAAAAATAAGTAAAAGCACAATTGCAGAATACAATTGATTTTTTTTTTTTTGAAAATTGTTTCCTTCTACAACTTTGATAATATATACTGAACCGCACACAACCAGTGCACTTGGCCAGTGTAAAGATGACCATACTTACTGACCAGTCATTACATCTACAGCACACCTATCCAGTATGTACTTGACCTATATTCAGATACCACTTTACTGACCAGTCATGATAGTGTACCAGTCCAGAATGTACTTAGACCTGTATAAAGAGGACCATACTTTAGGAACCATTAATGGTTATAACTGCCTATCCAATTGACCAATCTAACTTTTAAAGATGACCATACTTTACTGGACAGTCATGGCTGTCCATGCAGTGTATGTCCCCGAGCAGTATGAAGATGACCATACTTTACTGGACGGTCATGGCTATCCATGCAGTGTATGGCCTCGAGCAGTATGAAGATGACCATACTTTACTGGACAGTCATGGCTGTCCATGCAGTGTATGTCCCCGCGCAGTATGAAGATGACCATACTTTACTGGTCAGTCATGGCTGTCTTTGCCGTGTATGTCCTGGAGCAGTATGAAGATGATCATACTTTACTGGTCAGTCATGGCTGTTTATGCAGTGTACGTCCCCGAGCAGTATGAAGATGACCATACTTTACTGGTCAGTCATGGCTGTTTATGCCGTGTATGTCCCGGAGCAGTATGAAGATGACCATACTTTACTGGTCAGTCATGGCTGTTTATGCAGTGTATGTCCTAGACAGTATGAAGATAGCCATCCTTTATTAGCAGTTCTGACATCTACAGATTGATTACCTATAATTTAGTATGTATGATGTCCATTCTCCACTGCACACAAGTGCAGTGTCCCGTACATTATGTTATTATTTTGTAATATTTCTGTCTGTATATTATATGGGTGAGCTGTAAATCTCAATGTGATAAAAGAATCTGAAATTTGTGAATTTGTGTGTTTTTACCTTATTCTGCTATGACTGGTATTTTAAAAGCTGAATTTTGTTTTTAACTGTGTCAAAGTTTATGTATTGTAATGGAACTGTTACACTTAAACAGGCATTCAGTCCTGAGCTGTAGAATATTTTAGTTAGGTGCAGATGTTGTCATCAGCAGATTATAAAGAATCTCTGAAAAAATGAGTTGTTTGTAATAAATAAACACAGCATGAATTTAGACATAAATATTGGGAATAATCTGCTGCAGGGGATGACTGTTCCACTCATGTAACAGCTGGCTAAATCATTGAATTGTGTGTAATGAAAAAAAACATGTTTTTAAAATTTGCAACATCTGCAAAGTAAGTTTACCATAATTAGTCTCATTTTGTTGTTGATAAAGTAAACCTCCAACATAACTTCAGTATGTATAGAGCTACATAAGGGTGTCTTGTGTTATGTTTTTGCCAGGAAAAGACTGTACTATTATATATATACAAAACAACATCTCTTCAAAATTATTTACATTTCTGTGTGAAGAGTGGTTTTAATGTAACAACATTTTGTCTCATATTTTAGGAGAATATGGTGTGTGTTATTCATGTCTTACAGTACACCCTGAAAAATATTTCAATGAAATGAGAGATATTTCAATCATAGAATGATATAACTTCTTTTCCAATTAAAGATATATCTGAACTGTTCATAGGTATCATTTCCCAAATATTAAAAAAAAAAAAAACTTCAGTCAATAAATTTTGGTACATTGTTTATTCAAGACAATACAAATATATTGTTTTCGTTTGTACAACAGATATTGTGGTAGGTGTGTTTGCAAGGTATTGATTAATTTTCACTATTTCTGCAAGGTAAAACACCTCTTTTCATACCTCATGTTGCAAAAGGTTTAGGTCTGCATTTATAATTATTGATTACAACCATTTTTCATTTGGTGTTGCTGTGACCTAAAAATCAATGGTAATGTATGGATAAGGGTTATTACTTGGGGAATATCGAAGTGGGAAGGCTCCACCACACTGAATTGAAATGTTACTACATGTCCTAGTCAGTTTGTGTTCCAAGACCATGTTCATAAGCAGATTAGCTGCTTTGGAAATATCTGCTGGACTTGTAAACTTCTATCCTATATGTGCTTAGATTTAGCATGAATCTGTGTTTACATTGCAACTTGTATGCATTGGTTTCGTTTGGCATTTGATCTGAAAAAATGAGGTGAATTCATCCAGCTGCTTTCCATATATCTTTTATTGCAGGACCTGTACTTTTCAAAAGACAAATACATGTAAAGTTTTGGAAAAGGGTTGCATTATCATAGACATAAACGTAATTTCAGAATGAGGCAAAACATGCTCTTTTACATGTGTTGAATTTTACATATATAGAGGGGAAAAATAAATTGAAACCTGAGACTGGGGAGTCAAAGTTTGTAGCAAAGAATGAAATATTGGGCTTGTGTAAGTTTGAATACCAAATAATAGAATGTACAATTAACTTATATTTAATCAATTATATATGGTGTTGGGATGCATGTCATGGTCAGTGACTCCTGATTGTTTTCTCCAGTAATACTATGTAATTGATGCATTGTACCTGAATACGGAATATCAACGACATTTTTTTTTTCATATTCAACCTTATTATCCATACCTTGTACAAACAATGAAAACCATTAAAAATCAGAGTCTGGGTAATTATGGTGACTGATCATGATCTGTGTCTATTTCCTTGTTGAGCTGGAATAAGCTGATATATGATTCAACAGAAAACATTACCCATTTCTGTTCAGGATTTGCCAGGTTATTAATGATTAATTGGATATAATTCTCTTCCTTTTCATTGAGATGTATTTGATGCAATAGATTATTAATGATAGCTATAAAGAATATAATTTACTGTATAAATAGAGAAACATCATTTTGTGTAAAATATGATGGTGATTTATTATCACTGAATATGCTACTGCTCAATCATTATTTAATATGTTTGAATTGTGTGTCATTGTTTGAAGAAAGGAAGGTGTATTAATTTCTTACCTGAAGTAATAATTTCAAGAAGAACTTGCATTTCATTGACATATGTATGGACTTCTAAAGGAAGTTGAGGAAAATGTCAATATTTTTGTCCAATAACGTCTATTACTAGTTTCATCTTGTTTCCATGGAAGTTTCAATTGTACATATATATATATATATGGAGATAAGATCCAATTGTTAACAATTTTTAAATGATTTATGACACTGGAAAATTAGAAATCCAAATTCAGGAAATTTGGAACACAATTTAGCTTTACTCAAGTACAATAACTTGCGAATGAAATTCTATTTCACTTCATTATAATATAAGTTAGGAAAGAAGCAATCAAGATTTTTATTCGCGCTCAAATAAAATTTCTGTTTTTGTTTCACAGGGGCTTCAAGATGACGGCAGTGAGCATTAAGACGGAGCCAATGGGCACATCGCCCCTTGAAATAAACACTGGCGTCAATGCCATGGATGATGACAAGGAAAAGTCCTTTGCTTTCCAGCAAAGTCTACTCCTGAAGAAGGCACGTGCCAAAGAAGCTCATGATGTCGGAGCTAGCATACAAAATGTGAGTGGTCTCCCCTGTTTTTTCTTCTTCCTTTGTCTAGTTTGTTCATGTTTCTTTGTTACTTATTTATTTTCATGAGGCCTAATTGTTTCAAAAATACAGTTATAAGCAGCTTACATTTGAAACATCCTAGTCTTTCTCTCAGAAAAATTAAGAATAGGATGATTTCAAAAACATCTTAGGGGGAATTAAATTGTTTTGTGATTTAAGGTACTATAAACAAAACAAGTGATCTAAAAACTTGTTTGAGTGTTATCTGTTAAATTAAGGACACTCTTATTTCTGTTTGTTAATTTAAAAGAACAAATATTCAACCTTTTTCTTTTTTTTCTTTTTCCAATGTTTTAACTTTCAACGACAGACTATGTTGTTTTCCCTATTCAGTGGTAGGTGTCAAAACTGTCTATCATTACATAGGCATCATTGTCTTTGAAATGAGATGTGTCTATAATCTTGGTTTCTGTAAATTACATATGACTTTTAGAGTGGAAAGAGCTAGAACCAAAAAAAAATGGGAGAATATATAGGTTTAGAGAGAAATATTGTATTTTGATGAATACAGTGAAGAAGGCACCTCTGTTGTTATCTGCTGGGCTACAGATAAATGGGAGATGGCCCCCCCTCTCTCACAGGAACTGAGAGTAGAGGTAGTGTGGTATGGTATAACCAAAACACACTCAAAGGTAGTGGCGAGCAGGGAAGGCTGGACTTGTCCAGGTGTAGTGGCAGCCTCCTGCAGATTCATGCAGAGGTGTGCTGATAGGAGGCGAGGCAAATTCTTATTCTAGTTCTGGTGTTAATAGAGGACTCTTTGAGTAAAACATTGAAGTTAGAAGCACAAACAGATTTAGAATAGACAACGTGTCTTTAGCTAAAGATGATGACGTTTTAAAGGGTGGACCATTACTCAAAGGGTCCCAAGAACACACTTACTACCTTTTTATTAGTTAGAATGCTTATAAAATTAACCCAATGAGACCGATTAGTTTCGGGTTAACCCCCCCCTATTTTGGTACATATAAGAAAGAAAGTAAAAGGATAGTGTGCAGGTCAAGATTCTAACATCCAGCTTGGCAGGACGACATTTGTTGTACAACTAAGGTTGTTGGAAAGTAAGCAAAATGTTAATGCCTTAATTGTTTAATTTGTTAAAGTTCTACATATGCTTGGTAACGGTTGAAGGGTTGCTGTTTGCTAGATGAAGACATTTGGATTGCTAGTTCTGTGTTTTGAATCTTTCTGCTGTACATTTTATTTGTACTTTTTTGTATTTTAAATGTTTGATGCCAAAATGAAAGAAACTGACTATTGTTTATGTGTTGATGTTCAGAATTCTTTGTTGTTTCCAATTGTAGCATTTGTGTCATCTTGTGTATTGGAATGGCCTTGTTCTGTTACAGCTTTCAAAAAGTTGAGCCAGTATTTCCATCATGCTACAGAAAAGGCTGCTTCTGAGGCTGGAAAGCAGGTGCCCCCTCCTCTTAAATAACACTTAAACCAGAAAATTAACATATGGAATAGCCAACTTTGTAAATGTGTTTTCCTTCACTGACACATGATTATTAACTCTGCAGATTTTCAGTACATTGTGGTTGGCCGTGTAAGAAGGGTTGGTTTACATAGTGCTAGATATACAATTGTGGGCCGATGTTCCAGTCTTCACAGATTGCTCCTCGGGACTGCTCGAAAACACTTCTTTGTTTGATTTGACACTGATGGCCGTGAACAATTGTTTTAAACAAAGATAATGTGAATAGTGTGCGCAGATTAATCATCCTTAAATCATTAACAATAGTTTTCATGGTTAAGTTAGTCATAGCAGGTAACTGCTGGTTCTGATACTGTGACACATGAAACCTGTGTAATTTAAGATACTGGTAAAAAACATAGAATGACATTTTTATTCTCTTTTTTTTTTACAACATTTCAGAGTATGATTGTCAAGTTTAGGATATGGGTGTCAAACCGAACATGAAAATAAATGTTGTTGTCATCTATCCCTGTTTTTCTGAAATTTGTTTTTGTTCTTAAAAATATCCCTACCACCATGCATGTTTGTAAAAATGCAGTAAATGAATGCTTTCTGAAAAATCAGATAAAGACCTGTGACATTACTTTTATCACATATGTACAATTGTTTGTTATATAAATTTCATGTCCTCTGAATAATATTATTCATATCTCATATTTAAGTACAATTTGGTTCCTAAAATAATGGCGTACAAAACGTCACATAATTATCGCGTGAAATGTTACTAAAATGTTTGGAACCTATTTTTTTCAATTAGTCAATTTCATATCAACTGATATGTTCCAGTTAAAAAAAGGAGTTTTGATACTAGGGTTACTTTAGTTATTCATGAGGTATGTAATACTTTTTCTCTCATTTCCCTGAGAAAAAGGTAGAGCTGTCCAGGGTAGGAAGGGGGTGTAGGAAATTTCTATCTTACACCCCATTTAACGTGACGTCACAATTGCTCAACAATGACCTGACATAACAAATTTGAAAACACTGATGCCGCAAAGGCAGTGTTTTTGAATTAAAACCTTTTGCAATATATTCACTGTACACATTAAGAAAAGTAAGATTGGTTTTCTGCAAAAACAATGTTTACAAATATCGGGTATGCTTAATCTCGCCGATGGATTTGTTTTCGTCAAAAAAACTAAGGGGAAAATTGATATTTTCAAAATGGCAGCCAGTCCAAATGCATTTTCCTGGTTTCTGAGTTTATTCTGGTAGTTGGAATGAGAGAAAAATACTCTGTCATGCTTAAGGGTTAAGGACAGGGAAGATCCACCCTTGTTTTTTTTTTTTTAATTTGGCCAAACCCTCGGAAAAGCCTCAGGTTTTACCAAATTTGAAAACCCCACGGGTGGAATTTCCCTATCCTACACCCCTGGGCATGAAAGAGTCTTATATTCTTCTGATTTGAAGAACTGATTGGTATTCGGTCTTCAATTCTCTCATACAACTATGAGTTACTTATCTGTTTGATAAGTACTTATATGTATTTCATTTATATTTATTAGATGGCCTTTTAGTTGTTTTATAGCAGCAGTAGTATTACTGATAATTTTCTAGGACTGCTTTGGCGTAGTGTCAAATAGATATATATACTTTGTGAATTGCTGAGAAATTAAATCGGCTGGTATTATTCTATTTAATACAAGAGAAATCATGATTCAATTTTGTATTTTAGTTGTGAGGAATTTTATTCATTATTTGCTTTTTATAGCAAAAAAAAAGACAAACAAAATTGTTTGATTATATAAATTTGCATTAATGCCTTTATCTGCTGGTTGTTGACTGGCAATCTCACATTGCAATGATTATTATACACGGTCCCATATTCGGCTGATCACTGTCACTATCTTGTCCATACTGTAGAGCTACCCGGTAAAGGGCGCGGGAGACCCAGATTACCCGCTATCACCCTGTTTACTTCCCCATTAATCTGTGTTTACTCGCATCTGATTGGCACGTTTTGATGGACAATATTGTCCCGGAGCTGTTTCCCATATTTGTCCTAATCCGATGAGAAGATAAAATCACATAAACCATCGGATGGAAAAATATCTAAATTGTCTCAAATATGCTAGAGCCAACACAGAATTATAACTAAATTGAATCAAGAGTCATTAAGTAAAACAAGCATGACCCATTATATAGCGTGCTGTGTTGAGGGTAGCGGGCTCTGTCGGGTTGTGTTCGCGGTATTATGCGATATGGTGATATTAGTCATCTGTAGATCTACTGTTTAAAGGCCTGGTGAGACCTAGTATTGCATTTTGTTGCAATTTGCATCCGATAAGCGAAAGGGGGAGAATTATGGGATGACCAAATTACGAAATTGGATTATTTGCTGCCGGCAGATGTGTGTGTCTGTCATTCTGAGCTCTGTATAGTGATTAACGTGTCTGTATTGTACCTATGTGCTGGTAGAGGTATGGATGAGTATGATATGTTGGGGAAGCGTCCGTACTTCAGGGCATGTATACCTGGTATCGGGTACAATAACAACATGGTATAAATTGTCATGCAGAGTTATCTACTCCTGATTATATATAAAGTGAATCGGTTTGATACCATTTTATTGGATAGAAGTTTCTACTGTTGTGTTATCCAATGGGTTTTAGTTATGGACATCATTTTGGATGTTATAGTATGATTTTAAGAGCTATTTGCTTTTTATTGAATTGTTAGTAGTTATATGAAATATGAATTAATAAACTACATCAATATGGAACGCTGAAACAGTTCCTATTATAAAAAGATGAAAAAGCAAAAAAAAAATAATTAATTTCTTTCATAGACCTTTTCAATTAGAGAACTAAAAATGGAACTTGTAATTGCTGTTGTACATAGATTTTAAGGAAAAGTCGTAGGTGTATACATAATGTTTTGTGAGCCCAATAATCAACAAATGGGCATAAAAACACAACAGAGCACAGTTGATTTAATACAATACACGATACACTCTGTTATTTCTATTGTAAAGGACAGACCAATAAAACCTTGTCGTAAATCATAATTCAAGTAAATTTGGTCCAGGTAAAACTAACGAGAGAGATCTCAGCTAACTGGCTATGTGTATGTACAGGAGACGGATCGCGTTTAGATATTATTGCCTCGGTGGCGTTCAGGCGTCCGATAAATTTTCGTGATGATTTTGATAACGTCAAAACTCTTGAAAAGATTTGGATGATTCATGCCCTGTTCCATTCAACACAAAAATGAGTGTTTTCTTTTGGAATAAAAGGGCAGGCCTATCACAAGTGCGTTTTTCAGGGACAGAAGAGGGTTTATGATAATAACTTCACATTTTATTATTGGCTGACCAAAAATCATGTTGACTGGCAAGGTTATAATCTTACATTAGATTTATACAATAAAGCATCCTTAAGTGAAATGATTTTTCAGGGTTATGTGGAATGTGTTTTCATTCTGGATTTTAAACAGATCTAACCTGAACCCTGACTATTGTGATGTATTTATG